TTTTCATGCTGGACCCTCCCCCCCGCCCTTTTCCACCCTGCACTTCCCCTTGGATTTGGGGACTTGGATTTGTGGGGGGGGGGGCGACGTTCGGTCCATGGAGGAGCCGGGGCTGACGTGGCAGCGAAGGGATGGAGGGGATGACGTCAGAGAGAAGAGGTGCTTACGTCACAGGCTCACACCCGCATGAGGTGGCTGCTGTCGGTGGCCCGGGGCGGCTCGGACGAGAGGGGGTTGGTCGGTGGAGTCGGGGAGGCTGGGGAGGTGGGAGGGCTGGGGGTAGCGCACTGAGCTGGAAACGAGAAACGGGGAGAGGGGCGTGAAGGAGCGGCCAGAGGGGAGGGGACAGCGGGGAGGGGACAGCGGGGCTGGGCAGGGGACAGCGGGGAGGAAAGAGAGAGGAAAGGGGGGGAAAGCAAGCGCGGGTAGGGCAGAATCACAGCTGGCAGGGCGGAGAGTCACAGCTGGCAGGGCAAGCAGCCACAGCTGGGCAGGACAGAGCCACAGCTGGCAGGACAGAGCCACAGCTGGGCAGGACAGAGCCACAGCTGGCAGGAGAAGCAGCCACAAACAGGCTGCCAAAAGCAGCCTTTTTTGTCAGCCAAAAGCAGGACAAACAGCCACAGCTGGCAGGGCAAGCGGCAACAGCGGGGGGCAGGACAGAGGCACAGCTGGCAGGAAGGACAGAGGCACAGCTGGGCACAGCTGGGCACAGCACGCACACGTGAGCTCCCGGCAGGGCTCCTCATGGACAAGGCATGGTGTGGCACCGCGGGCACCCGGGCACGGTGTGGCAGCGCAGCCAGCCAGGTACGGGATGTCACCGTGCTCACCTGGGCACAGCGTGCCACCACAATCCCACCCCCCGCCCCCAGCACTACCATGCACGGCCACAACGTGCCAGCCCGTGCCACCACAACCCCTGTGGCATGGGGTGACACCGCGATTCCCTGGGCGTGGGGTGACACGGCAATCTCCCTGCAAGGGGCGCCACCCTGCTTGCTCAGCCACTCCGTGCCACCTCATGCCACTTCATGCCACCTCATGCCACCCGGCCAGGCACTCCCACCCTCACAAACACTCCCGACAAGGTGCTGGAAGCTGTGCCCGGCTGGAATGGCTGCTCCATCCCAGGATGTCAGGGCAGGAAGCCCCAGGAGCTGTTGGCATCCCCCTGTCCCCTCTCCTGCCCACTGCCCCCTTGCCGTGCTGCCAAATCTGTCCCTGCCTTCACCCTCCTGCCCTCCTGGCACCTCGCTGTCCCAGGGATCTGCAGGATCCGAATCCAAGCCCCCGATCCTCACCCGAGAGCATCCGGCCGCGGCGCGAGGCCTCGGCTGCCAGGGCACACGAGATCTCGATCCTCTTCTCCTGCTCCTGCAGCTGCACCTCAGGGTCCTGGGGGGTGTCCACCTCCCCCTCGCCCAGGGGGATGACGTTCTGCAGGCTGGGAATGGCACCTTGGGGTCAGCACCCCTGCCAGGACCCCCGGGGTGGGGTGGAATGGGATGGGATGGGAGGGGTGGGATGTTCCCCCTGGTATGGGTGGGGGAGCAATGGAGGTGAGTGGTCATTTCCCCTCAGGATGGGCTGGGTGGTCATTTCCCCTCAGGATGGCCACGGAAGGGATGGACATGAGTGGTCAGTCCCCCTCAGGGTGGCCAGGGAAGGGGTGCAGGTTGCAGGTGAGTGCTCAGTCCCCCTCAGGATGACCCCTGGCATGGCCGGCGTGGGCGCTGCAGCCTCACCTGGATTTAGCAATGAGGGTTTTGATCCTTTCCACTTTCTTCTGCTTCTCCTTCATCTCCTCGGGGCTGAGGGGAGATTCGGGCTCCAGCTCCACGTAGCGCTCAGGGATCAGCACTTTGTCCGGCGTGGACAGCTGGGGAAAGAGGGACAGGCTGAGGAAGGTCCTCCAGGGGGTGGATGGTGACACGTGGAGCCACACAGTGTCCCTGTGCTGGACACTGGGGACCTGGCCCCTCCAGCCCACACTGGACACAGCTCCAGGATGCTGCCAGGTGAAGTCCCCCCCTCCTGGGGACACTCAGGGACACCCTGTGCTCACCCCCTTGTTGATGTTCACATCCCAGGTGAGGTGTGACTCCCCTGGGGACATTTGGGGACACCCTGTGCTCACCTCCTTGTTGATGTCCACATCCCAGATAAGGTGTGACTCCCCTGGGGACATTTGGGGACACCCTGTGCTCACCTCCTTGTTGATGTCCACGTCGTAGTGCTGCGGCTCCAGCTCCATCTTGCGCAGCCGGGCGATCTCCTCCTGCGGGGTCTCGTACACCTTGCCGGGCTCGTCGGAGCGCAGCGCAGCCTCCAGGTCCGAGATATCCACCTCGTGGATGCTGCGGTGCCGCCGCACCTGCGAGGGACCACGCCCTGCTCAGCCTGTGGGCTCTGCCCACAGCCCTGCCCTGGAGGGATGTCCCTTGAATGGGGTGTCCTTTAAATGAGGTGTCCTTTGAATGGAGTGTCCCTTCAATGGGGTGTCCTTTGAATGGGGTGTCCCTTGAATGGGTTGTCCCTTAAACTGGCCGTGATTATTTTATCTCAACCCTCCTGGAAAGATGTTCTTTAGGCTGGCACATCTTCCCTTATCACGGTGAGCCATCCCCAAAGGTTTCAGTGATCCCACCGTGCCCGAATACCCGTGGTAACCCATTGCTGTCTCCCCCTTGACACCACCCTTGCTTTCCTCCATAAAAACCCCAGTTTTTCCCCCAGTTCTCAGGGGAGCCGTCATCCCTTCCCAGAGCTGCTGGATAATAAAGGAATCTCTGCGGAATTGCCACATGAAGCTCCTGTCTCTCTGTCCCCGAGCTGGCCTGGGATGGCCCCGCAAGCAGAACTGAAATCACTGAGAGCTGAAATCACTGATCAGAGCTGATCACTTGTGGCCACAGGCCGCTGCTTGCTGAGGCTTATCTGGTGGCCAAAGACTGCCAGAGACCCCCTCAGAAGGCTGGAGACCCCCCCCTCAGAAGGCTGTCCCTTGCAGGACCCTCTCTCCGGGAAGGTTGGTGGCTTCCCAGGAGCATCAGACCTCCACGGACCCCCTTAGCAGCCTACAAGCATCCCCTGTGCTGTCCCTTGTGCCACCCCACGCTGTCCCCACCTGGCTCAGGGACTCACCACCTTGTAGGAGGAGGGGGTTTTGGTGCCGGGGGGTTCGGGCTGGGGGCCGGGCAGCTGCTGGGGGCTGGGGAGCTGCAGGCTGCGCCGCTTCTCCTTCATGGAGCCGCTCTGGTGTCGCCTCATGCGGTCGATCTGCTCCTCCACGCTCATCTTCACCTTGGTCTCGGTGGCGAACACGGCGCTCTTGGGTCTCTCCTGGGGGAGGGGGGGACGTGTCCAGCGCCGTGGTCACTCACTGGTGGCCGGCCACATCCTCCCAGTGCCACATCCCTCTGCTGTGAGCCGCTGGGATGTCACTCCCGGGATGTCACTCCCGGGATGTCACTCCCAGGAGCACGGAAGGTGCTGAAGTCACCCTGGGGGTCTCCAGGAGGTGGGTGGTGACACACAGAGCCACACAGCCACGTGCTCCTGTCCCCAGGCTGCAGCTGAGCCCCCCCTTGGCTCACCCAGCCCCCCCAGCCAAGCCCCCAGCCCTACCCGGGAGCTGAGCCCGTTGGCCAGGCCGTTCCTCCTGGGCACCGCCTCGTCCTCAGCCGGAGATTTGGTCCTGGGGGGCACGATTCCCACTGTGGGGACACCACAATGCCAGGGTGAGCCGGGGCAGGGTGCCAGTGCCACCCCTGTGTCCTGCCGAGTGTCTCCAGTGCCACCCCTGTGTCCTGCCGGGTGTCCCCAGTGCCATCCCCGAATCTTGCCGGGTGTCCCCAGTCCACCCCTGTGTCCTGCTGGGTGTCCCCAGTGCCACCCCTCTGTCCTGCCGGGTGTCCCCAGTGCCACCCCCGGGTCCTGCCGAGTGTCGCCAGTGCCACCCCCGGGTCCTGCCGGGTGTCCCCAGTGCCGTACCCTTGTTGAGAGCCGCTTGTTTGTCCCCGTCCTGCTCCGGCCGGCTCTGCTGGAGCCCCTCGGGCGCGGGGCCGGGGGGGCTGGGCCGGGGCGGCTCCTTCTTGCTCTGCTCGAAGCCTGGCTTGGGCTGTGGAGGGGGAAAAATGTCCCCAGTGAACCCCAGTCCTGCCTGGGGGCCACGCTCTGCCTGAGGACACTCGCTGCTCTTGGGGTGACAGATCAGGGACACATGGACAGGGGACACCCACTGCTCTTGGGGTGACAGACAGATCAGCGGCCAGGTGGGGCCAGGGCACCCCAAAACTGTGGGGAGAGGGACTGACGGGGCTCTGCTCTTGTCCCTGCTCTGTCCCCTCCTGTCATGGCTGGGCAGCCATCGCTGTCCCCACAGGAAGGGGCGAAGGTTCCTACAGGTGACAACCCCTCCACAGCCCCCAGGAGCTGGGGGACGGGGACAGGGACATCCTGGCTCTGTGCTGGGCTCCAGCCTGGTTTGAGGCTGGCACCGATGACCTCATGGGGTGACACAGGGCAATGAGAGCAAAGGGACATTTTTGGGGTCCTTCCCCTCTTGTATCCCATGGGAACAGCCCAGAAACTGCTGGGGTGACAGAGGGGTGTGACAACAGCCCCAGCAGCCCAGTGTGTCCCCCTAAATGCACCCTGACACCCCTGTGTCACACACAGCCGCCCCTGTGCCACCCACGGCAGCTGGAAGTGCCACCTGCGCTGGCACCGTGCCCCTTCCCAGCTCGGCACAGCCACGGCCACACATCCCGAGCCCTGGCTGTGAGGCCACTCGTGTCACCTGTGTCCCCACACACGGCCGAGGTGTCACCAGGAATTCCCCAAATCCAGGTTTTCCCTGGAGCTGCGGGCTCGGAGCCTGCCAGCGCCACGCCGGGAGCGGTGACACGGAAGGACAGTGAGTGACAGAGGCGAGGGCAGAGCCAAGCAGAGGGGACAACCAGGGACAACCTCCCCAGGAGAAGGAGGAGGAAGAAGAGGAGGAGGAGGAGGGGACAATCCCTGTCCTGACCGCTCACAGGGCGTGGCGACCTCCTGGGAACACCAGGGGTGTGACAGGTGCCACCTCCACGATGTCGCTGTGGATTTGGGGCGGGCAGCTCCAGCTCCTGCCTCATCCCAGCGCCTTCCTTGCCACGAGGAGGAGGAAGAGGAGGAGGAGGAGGGCGGCGGTGCCCCGCAGGGTTCGGTACCTGTCCCCGCTTGGCCTCTCCACCGCCTTGGTGCCAGGAAGGGGAGGCGGGGTAGGGCCAGAGGCGGCTCTCGCTGGGGAGCGGAGGAACGGCCGGAGGAGACTCCAGGGGAACGTAGGACTTGGGGAGGGGAGGTCGAGGCGGACCCGGTTCCTGGGGCGGGCAGGAGCGGGAGGCGTGAGAGCAGAGAAGGAACAGAGAGTTAGAAAAGAGACCGAGAAAAAGAAACACGGCAGGAGCAGCCTGGAGAAAGGGATGGAGCAGGGAGTGACTCCGGGGTGTCCCTCTCGGTGTCCCCAGCGCCAGGCAGGGCTTGACAGCCCTTGGGGGACTGGCGTCGCCTCTGTCCAGCCAGGCGGGGCTGGAGAGTCCCCAAATTCCAAATTCCTGTGCATGAAGGTGACAGCAGCCCTGGGTGAGGACACCAGGAGCCAAAAGCTGGCGCTGAGCAACTCCCGTCCCTCCAGAGCCACAGCCCTGCAAGGACCACGGACCCCAAAGTCACCAGGTGACACCAGGCAGCTCCATGGGTGCCCAGCAGCCCCCCAGCCCCTGCTGGTGACAAAGAGGGGACAGGCAGGGTCACTGACCTCGCCGGGGCCGGGCTTGGTGGGCGATCCCTGGGAGCCGGAGATGAGGGAGAAGGGGCTCAGGGGGCTGGTGAGGCTGGCAGAGCTCAGGGGGCTGGCGGGGCTGTTGGAGCTGTACGTGCCCGAGGGGCCCAGGGCCACTGTGGAGAAGAGCAGGAATGAGGTAATTATAACATAATTATAATATAATTATAACATAATTATAAGATTTTAACGAGGGTCTTCATCTCCCTGAGCAGGAGCCCATCGGGGACACCCCAGGCAGGGACAGCCCCCCCCTCACCTCTGTGCTTGGCGGTGTCGGTGCCACGGGAGGGGTTGTTCTTCCTCAGCCCCTCCATCACGTCCTGGATCCTCCAGATCTCCTTCTGGATCTGCCTGTTGAGCATCTCGTTCTGGAATGGGGGAAAAGCAGCGCTCGGAGGGGGCTCGGGGACGTCAGTGCCAGCCCTGGGTGTCCCCAAACTGAGCCTGGGGACGTCAGTGCCAGCCCTGGGTGCCCCCAAACTGAGCCCGGGGACATCGGCGCCAGCCCTGGGTGTCCCCAAACTGAGCCCGGGGACATCGGTGCCAGCCCTGGGTGTCCCCAAACTGAGCCCGGGGACATCGGTGCCAGTCCTAGGTGACCCCAAACTGAGCCTGGGGACGTCAGTGCCAGCCCCAAACCAGGCTGGAGCCCAGCCCCAAACTGAGCCATAGGAACTTTTGGAGGCTGAGCCATCACCACCAGGATTGTTATCTCTGGATCTGCTCCCCAGGACCCCACCTGGGCTGGGGACAGCTGGGGGGGACTCTGGGCTGCCCCCCTCGATGGCACCCAAGTGGCCAAAGCTGGACATGAGGGCTGGGCATGGAGAACCAGAAGGGGCAGAGGGGGATTTCATCTCCATGGGGACATCAGGGATGGCAGGGGATGTCCAGGTTAAGGGTGGCAGGGGACCTGGGTGTCCAGGTTCAGGGGTGACAGGGGACCCTCTCACCTGGATGTCCAGGTTAAAGGTGACAGGGGACAATCTCACCTGGATGTCCAGGTTCAGCTGCTCCCAGAGGTCATCGTGCAGGGTGGACACCTCGCTCTCCAGGCTCTCGTACTCGGCCGTGCTGTTTGCCAGGGCCTGAGGGGACAGTGAGGGGGGGGGATCAGGGGGGGTCTTTGCCACCCAGCACAGCCCCCCGAGCTGGGGAGGGGGTGGCAGCAGTGGGGACAAGCCCTGAGGTGCTGAGGTGGCACCTGGGGGTGCCTGATTTGCTTTGTGCCATGGGAGGGATTTTGGTCCCCAGCCAGAACTCCCGGCTCGTTTTCCATCCGGGAAGGGACAAAAGGGACCCGAATCCCCCCCGTTACCGTGCTGGCCTGGGACAGCTCCACCCGGATGTTGATGAGCTGGTTCTGGAGCGATTCCTTCTTGTGCAGCAGCTTCTCAGGGTAGGCGGGCTGGCTCCCGAACATCTCCAGCTCCTGGTGCGTCCCCATCAGGGCACTCTCCAGGCTCTCCTGCGGGAACAGACGGAGCTGCGAGGTCCTGGCTGCTCAATAACGCACCGGGAGCGCCGTGGCCTCGCCCCCAGCTCAGAAATGTCCCCAAGCTGTGGCTGCTGCATCCCTGGGAGTGTCCAAGGCCAGGGTGGAGAACCTGGGATAGCGGCTCAGAGGTGGAATGAGATTTTTAAACGTCCCTTCAACCAGGGATGGCAGGGGACACACACACCTGGGTGTCCAGGTTAAAGGTGACAGGTGACACACACACACCTGGATGTCCAGCTTGAACCCAAACCCTCCCGTGGTGACGTCACTTCCTCACCACACAGGTGCCACCACCAGGTCCCCGAGCGGCCACCTGAGGTGCCACCACCTTCTCAGGTGCCACCACGCACCTTCTCAGCCCGCAGCTGCTGCACCAGCCTCTCCTGCTCCCGCAGCACCTTGTTCTGCTCGCAGAGCTTCCCCAGCAGCTTCTGTGCCCGGCGGGAAGAGAAACGGGGGAGAGGATGAGCAGGACGGGAATCCCAGCGGGATGCAGCCAGGACTGGTGGGATTGATGGGATTGATGGGATTGATGGGATTGATGGGATTTATCTGGGGGAGGAGGGGGTTTCCAACCTCCTGCTGTCATTGCAGGGGGTGACACGGGACAAACCGGGACCTAAACTCAGGGCGGGATTTATCCCTGAGGAGCACAAAGCCACGGGCACAGCTCTGCCTGCGGGGACAGGGGACACCGAGAGGGGACAGGAGCGGCTCTTACATCGGTGTCCTGCTCGCTGATCTTGTAGGGGGGGTGCAGGGTGTCCCTGTAGGGCTCCGGGAACGGCGTCACCTGCAAGGAGAGCGAGGGGTGAGCCCGGAATCCCCCCGGGACGCGCAGGGAAGGGGAGGCAGCTCCCAGCCCCTCTCTGCCATCCCTGCGAGCCGGGAAAAGGAAACCAGAGCCGAGCTTCGGGTGCTCCTCATCACTCAGGAGCCACTGGGATGAAATCAGCCTCTCCCTGGCCATTCCCAGCGGGAACGATCCATCGTGAATCATTCCAGCGGCAGGGAAAACAAAAGGCCCCGCGATTGAGCTGTAATTCCACCTCGGCGGAGTGGGAGCACCTCTAAATCAGCAGCTGCTGCTGCGGCAGCAGGGCCTGTTTACCCCCGCCCGGCTTCTCCGTGAGTCATTTTCCTTTCCTGGAAATCTCAATTACTAATGGGACCTGCAGCAATTAACTGCCTCCCAGAGCTGGAGATGAAAGGCGCGAGATAGGAAGGAGGGGATCATTATTGCTAGAAAGCAGAGAGGGTTGCTTTGGAGCCATTTAAAACTCCGGGATGACGCAAATGGATCCGGATCTGGGAAATGCCCGCGGGGTTGGAGGCAGAGCCGGGTGGGTCGGGATGAGGCGGGCAGGGAGCCCGGCCAGCCAGAGGAGCATCCCGGGAGCTCCCGGCTCACCCTCCAGCACATCCATGCTGGCAGCAGATGGAAACAGGAAAATCCTTTTTGGTTGGAAAATTCCATCCAGGAAGTCCCCAGGGCAGCACAACCCGGGCTGGGTGGCATTGCCATGTGACATCGCAGGGATGTCCCAGTGCTGGGGACAGAAGGAGCCTCCGGGGTGGAAAAGCCGTTCCCTGTCCCTGTTTCAGGAATTATTCCCTTGCTTTAAGAGCTGCGTTCCTGTCACCCTATTCCTTCTCCTTGAAAAACAAGGACGGGTCAAGTCCCGCGTGTCCAAGAGTGCCTGGGACAGCTCTGTCCCCAAAAGTGCCTGGGACAGCTCTGTCCCCAAAAGACCCCTGGGGCAGCTCCGTCCCCAAAGGGTTCCGGGACAGCTCTGTCCCCAAAAATCCCCGGGGCAGCTCGATCCGAGAGACCTGGGACATCTCTGTCCGCAAGAATCCCCACGGGCAGCTTGTCCCCCAAAATTTCCAGGGGCACCTTGGTCCCCAAGAGTCTCCGGAGGCAGCTCGGTCCGAGAATCCCGGGACAGTTCCGTCCCCAAGAATCCCCGGGACAGTTCCGTCCCCAAGAATCCCGGGACAGTTCCGTCCCCAAGAATCCCGGGACAATTCCGTCCCCAAGAATCCCGGGACAGTTCCGTCCCCACCTCGCGCTGCCAGCACGAGGATTTGCCGGCTTGGAATGGCTCATGGATGGATCAGCAAAGCCTGGGATGGAGCAGCGCGTCCCCCCAGAGCGGGATGTGCCGGATGCCGCGGCTGCTGAGCGAGTGGCGATGGCAGGAGGTGACCCCGGGTGACAGCAGGTGACCCCGGGTGGCGCGGGGAGTGGCCGGCACGGCCGCCAGGCACGAGCCATGCGGGGCCATCCGGTGGCCAGAGCCTTACTTGCATGTAGAGCTGGGCCCTAGGGGGGGAGGTCTCCACCATCCTGTTCACCATAGTGATGAGGGTCTCGCTCTCGCTCATCTGCGGCACACAGGGAAGGAAAGGGCACAGGTCAGCGGGGACACGCGTCTGTGCCGGCGGTGACCGGGCCAGGAGCCCTCAGGATGCAAAATGCCACCTCCCGAGGTGGCCCAGCGGCTCCAGATGTGGCCCCAGTGCTGCTGTTGCTCCTTTTAGTGCGTTTTTTTTTTTTTTTGAAAAATACGGATAAAACAGAGCCAGCTCGGAGCAGACGGCACAGACAGACACGAGCTCGGGCAGGGACGGCAGCAGCGTGGCCTGGCACACAGACGGACACACGGACAGGCCCTGGCACTGCCCCACGCCTCCGTGCCCAGCTGGGCCCTGAAAATGAATGCTGGGTGCTGGGGAAGTGGCTGAAAGGTGGGATTGGGGACAGCAGAGTCCCCTTTTCCAGGTGGCACCGGGAGTGGCACATCCCTGCTGCCAGACACGGTTTGGACAGGTTTGTGCTGCTCCACGGGGACAGGACTGTCCCCAACCAGCTGTGCCACCTCGGTGCCAGGTGACAAAGCCACTCAAGCCACCAGCACCAGAGCTCCTCGCAGAGCCCCCAGCCCTGAGCTGGGAGCAGGGAAACCCTGAAATCCAAAGGGTGACAAGACTTTGTCACCAAACCAGCGCCCAAACCCTGCTGGGGCTGCAGCGGGGGGAGCTTGGGCGAGGAAGGAGAGAGAAACCAGAGCAGGAGGATGTTGGAGGAGAGGCCCTTGACAGCATCACTCCAAATCAGCCTCTCCAGAGGCCGCTGGAAGAGGAGGAGGAATGAGGAGATGCCAAAACCTTTTTTAGGGAGCGTTTTAAGGAGTCCCAGAGAGGCTGCAGAGCTCTGAGACAGCGCAGGGAGCTTTTATTGCAGCGAGGGCTCCTGGCCCCTCTCCAAGGCGGACACACATCCTGGCCACGGGACATTTGCATCCAAATGGGATCGTGCCCAGGAGCAGCTCCCTCCGTGCCAGCCTGGCCCCGGGCTGCAGCTCCTGTGCCCGGTTGTGGGTCCAGCTGCTGCCTGGACACATCCCTGGGGGCTCTCCCGCCTGTATCCCCCTCCCCAAATTCCCGGGGTGAAGTTAGAGCAGTTTTCCTCCAAAAATCGCTGGTGAAATCACGGTTTTCTTCCAAAAACGTCACGCAAAATCAGGGTTTTCATCCGAGGTCTTCCCCCCAAAAAACCCTGTCAAAATTAAGGTTTCCTCCAAAAAACACTGGTAAAATCAGGATTTTCCTCCAAAAATCACTGGTAAAATCAGGATTTTCCTCCAAAAAACACTGGTAAAATCAGGATTTTCCTCCAAAAATCACTGGCAAAATCAGGATTTTCCTCCAAAAATCACTGGCAAAATCAGGGTTTTCCTCCTAAAACATCACACAAAATCAGGATTTTCTTCCAAGGTTTTCCTCAAGAAAACCCTGGCATAACCAGCGTTTTCCTCCAAAACCCTCTGGCAAAATCAGGGTTTTCCTCTAAAAACCCTGTTAAAATTAGGATTTCATCTGAAAACCACTGGCGAAATCAGGGATTTCCCTCCAAAAACCTCCAGCAAAATCAGTCTCTTCCTCTAAAAATCACTGGCAAAATCAGAGTTTTCCTCCAAGGTTTTCCTCCAAAAAAATTGCTGGTAAAATCAGGATTTTCCTCCAAAACTCCTGGCAAAATCAAGGTTTTCTTCCAAAAACCTCCAGCAAAATCAGGTTTTTCCTCTAAAAATCACTGGCAAAATCAAGGTTTTCCTTCAAGATTTTCCTCCAAAAACCCCATTGAAAATCAGGATTTCTCTCCAAATCCACCTGAGCACTGCTGAGTTTTGGGCACCACCTTTCACCCCCGAGGTGCCACCACATCACCAGGACCACGGTCCCCACTGTCACCTGCCACCCCCGGCACGGGGGACACACCCTGGGCACACCTGAGGACACCATTCAGGTGTTCCAGACCCCTGAGCTCCAGGACAACACCCAGAGCACCCAGAAATGTTGGAATCTGCCCCAAAACCCCCAAAACTCCCCCCCCCCCAAAAAAAATCAGAGCTTTGGGGTGGGGATTTTTCTGCCCAGCGATGAGCGGCGCTAAGGATGCAGAGGATGGAAGAAGCAAAACCAAAAAAAAAGACAAACTGGTGCTACTGGGATGCTGCTGGGATGCCGGGAGGGGTGAGGATGGATGGCAGCAGGGGACAGGGACATGGTGGGGACAAGAAGCAGCCGGTGAGGTGAGGCTGGCAGCCAGCTCCGCCTACCTGCTGGTCCAAATACTCTAGGTTTCTTTGCAACTGAAGGTCTAAAAGTTCATCCTACCAGGAGCCAGCAGGCAAGAAACGAGCAGCAAAAACACATAAAAGAAGAAGCAAAGCGGTTAGGGGGGAGCCTATGGAATTCCCAGGCTGGGAATGATGCTGGGAATGTGCCCTGTGGGCCCTGGGCAGCTGCTTTCTGCTTTCTTATTTTTCTCAGTTTTCTTATTTTTCTTTTTTTTTTTTTTTTTTAATTTTTTTCTGGGGAGACCCTGCCTCCGGCTGCGGGGGATGGATGGGCGGCATGGGTGGGCTGTGGTGAAATTCAAACTTCTCCCTCCTCTGGCGGTCCCGTGCCGGGGTTTTGGGATCTGCAGGGACCTCCTGGTGTCACCCCCCAGCTCCGGGAGGGGACACGAGGCAGGAGAAACAAAGCAGCTGTGGCCAGATGTGAGGAAGCAGAGCGGGAGAGGTTTGGGGACCACCCTGGGGGTCCGAGGGTGTCCCATTGCTGCAGAGGGGCCTTCCCACATGGATTTCCTTTGGGAACGGCCGGGAGGGACCGGAGACACCAATGAAAGGCCCAGGGGGAGTGAGGCCCCCCCCAAACCGCCCCATGTCCCCGGGGTGGGGTCTGTGCCCCCCCTGTCACAGGGTCACCCCCAGGGGACAGCGGGTACGTACCATCTTGTCGTGGATGGTGGGGGATGCTGGGAAGTGGTACGGGTACACCCCGGCTGGGACAGGCCGCCTGTCACCCAGGTAATCGTACTGTGGAGAGAGGGGACCCCCAGCCCGAAATCAGGGACACGGGACAGGAGAGGGACAGG